GAGGCAACCCTAGGATCACATGCTTTTGTCAAAATGACAAAAAGAATGTCAGTGCTATTGTGACATAGCTCCCCTCCTTTGCACACGCATGCAACATCATGATGCTATATTGTATTTACCCCAAGACAGCCTTAAAGAGACCTTCTTGATTTCCTTATCCCATGAGCTGTTTGGGTCTTGATGCTGAGAAAGAAAATGGAGTTTTCTAATACATGGCAGGCAAGGAGCAGATAGACATTTCAGCCATATCTCTTAAGTAAAGTATCAGTTTATCCATTAGAGACTCTTGAGAAAGAAGATCAGACAATACCCAGAGGCTCCAACTTAATGTATTCATTAATAAATGAGGATTGGATTAATAAATGAGGTTTCCAAGATTCTCTGTCAGAATGTTATATAGTCTCTCTTCCTTTAAGCTCTCAGAGCTGAGAGAGAAAGAGACAGATGTTACATTACATTTACATTACACATATAAATTATATAATCCATACACTACATTACGTAGAGAGATACAGATATTACCTACAGATGTTACCTCCTAAAGCTTCCTTTGGGTAGTGTCAATTCTGAACAAATGGGAGAAAGTTTTAAATTAGAGAATGTTTTTAATCACTGAATGTTTGCATTCATTGATTTCTGCATTTATTTAAAATATATACAGTAATTTTGCTAAAATATGGGTTTACTAAATGCTTCTATTACTTATGAATTTTATTACTTAATATAGAAAGCCAAGCATCTGGCAATTCCTAGGTACTGTAGATCAGGATTGCACAGATTTTCATACTTTCATTTGATGCTTTTTACGTTCCTTGTCCCATTTGGTATGCCTCCTCCTCCTCCTCCTCCTCCTCCTCCTCCTCCTCCTCCTCCTCCTCCTCCTCCTCCTCCTCCTCCTCCTCCTCCTCAGCTTGATAAACAATACACTAGAAGAACAAGTCAACTGCTGATAATTTGTGTACCTATGTGATGAGCAGTAATCTCCCAAATACATAATTTCCCCAATGCAGTCATTTCTAAATGCCTCTAGGTACTCTTAAAGTTCATTCAACCATCCCCCATCAAAAGCTTTCTGCCTCTTAAGTTGGTGTTTAAAAGGAAATTATCTCTCAGGCATGCGACTCAGAGGTGTGGTAGAAGAAAAAACTGTATCCAGCAGCAACTTTTCCCCCTTCTTCCTTCCTTGTTGAAACGGGACTCTTGACAATTTGGACTATAGGTCAACTATATCTACAAAGAGACCAAATAGTTTCATATATGAAGAATAGATAGATAGATAGATAGATAGATAGATAGATAGATAGATAGATAGATAGATAGACAGACAGACCAGTTGATGGATCAATGGATTGATGCATGGCTTGATGGAAGGAGGAATGAATCAATCCACACAGAAAGAGAAAAGACCGATAATAATCTTTCTGTGTATCTAACATTTACAATATTAGCAGTTTGATTTTATCTTGTAGAAGCATGAAAATATTTTTGAGGTCATTTATGTTTGCGTCTTGAACTTTCTCTCCCTTTGCAACTTCATCAGAAGCATTCTGTTGTTGGATGGTCCTGTTCATATTTTATCCCTTATTATTCAGTTGGTTTCAATTATGTAAGAGAAGTTGGAACAACCTGTTCTGAGGTCAGAGCACAGCCAGTAAGGCCAGAAGAAGCCGTTCCAAGTCTGGAAACCTTCCAGCAAAATCAGGCTAGTCGTTCTGATGCTTCAGGGTTGGTTTTTGACTTCAAAATGTTTCGTGCATCTCTGCTTATGTGTCCCTAATTTTTGTGGAACGGATTGTGTTTATAATGGCAAGTTACCACGACATGCGTAATGCAGGGGTACACAGAAAGGATATTCAAAATTACAGCTAGAATTAGTACAGCTTTGTAGAGTTCAGCAAGAATTTATGAGTATGTCTTTATTAAATTTATATCCTGCTGCAAAGATAAGTAGACTCTTGCTGGGTCATTTAAGAAGACAATAACATAAATGATATAAAAAGACAACAATTGTTATTAATTGTAGTTTGCCCAATTAGATTGTATTAATTGAAATCTTTCTGGAAAGATAGGACAGTAATAAGATTGTACACATTACCATCTATGCTCAGTCTCATTTGGGTTAAGAAAAAAAATGCAAATATTATTTAACAATCATTTTTAATTAATCCTACTCTAAGATTACTACCTATGTTTCCAAAGCTTTGTAAACCAGATTTTATTACCAGATGTATTATTGAAAACATGGGGATATCAAAGTCTGTATTTCTTTAGTCAATGGAATTTAAAAATATATATAAAAATAATTGTTGAAAAAATTAACTCAACCATACAGGGCCATGGAAAAATATTCAGTCACAGTTGAATCTTTATTCTATTTGATAATACTGCTCGGTTAAAGGTTTGTTTACTCAAACTGAAAAAAATAAAAATAAAAAATAAAAAAAAATCTATAGCCATGAAATATTTCCAAACAGATTCCTAACCATCTGTATAAATATTGTCAGGGAATAAATATTGAATAAGTATGTTTATCTATGTGTGCCTTAATATTTTGGGGATAAAAAAAACTTCAATGCATTCAAGATTTATTTTATTTATTTTGTTTTCCTTTTGTTAGTCTTTTCATTTTGTTTCTTTTTGCCAAGATATTTACATTAATTAAAATGTGATAAAAATAGCAGCCATCAAAAGACCATGGCCTTTCTCTATTTTTTTTGTTGAAATGAAGAAATAGGAACCCATTTTATTTTACTACTACTACTACTACTAATAATAATAATAATAGGAATCCATTTTATTTTACCAAGGTGGTGAGACCTTCAAAATAATCCGTAACGCCATCATGTCATATCACAAGTTATTTTTCAACATAAAAATATTAGTTAGAGAATTCAAAAACTTTTGCTTTCATAGAGCATCCTCTGTTTAGTGTCAAAAATACTTTAGGATATATTTGCTTGCCTTATCCATTTTTGTGGTTTCTTTTCCCTCAAGAAAACTTTTTAAACACTATTTTTTTAACAGTGCTCTCCATCCTGATGGTGTCTCAATTTCAAATGTCTTTCCTGACATTTTTTTTAAGGCTATGACTCAGCATAATTAATTTTGGCAAAATCAGACAGTGAGCATAAGTGTGCTAACTCGAAACAAACAATTCCGTATAAATATTTTGTGCTTGGATCAAACCTGGGCTGTGAATAACAAGGGATAATTAACTTTATGAATTCTCCTGGGTGGTTAGAGTTGTTCTATACAATTTTATGTCTCTCTCGAATTGCTGGGTTTAGCCCATTACGTTTAATTGAAGGTTTTAGATTTGTACTCTCGGTGGAGGAAGAAATATAGTGTAAATGTTGCTGTGTTGACTATTGAGTGCTTGAAACCGGCCTCTTTTCCAGTTCACTTCTTCAATTTTCAATCTGGCACAATGCAAATTGAAGAAGAGCATTTCAAGAGAGTAATTCATTCCCTCAATTTACTGTGGCTAAATTAAAGTTCTTTTACTTGCCACCAAGGTGATAATAGAGACGGATATAATCTTGCTGGCTATCTGCCAACAGAGCTGGTGTGTAACCTTATGCTTATTTACTTGGAAATAAGCCACATTAGGTTGAAGGATAACTAAGTACAGACTATAGTGGTGGACTATAACTTGGACTCCCATATTCTAACCATTAGCCAACCTCATGGAATTGATAGGCATGAACACTTAAGTCTCCTTACTCCACACTTAATTATTCTGTGAATTTTCTTCACTTGGGAATGAATTCTTTCTGAATTCTGGCGTAAACCGGAAGTTCACAAATAATTTCAGAAGATGAATGTGAATTTGTAGTGACTTTCATTACCATCTTCTCTTACATCTTTACTAATAAAACTATGTAAAAAAGGAAGTAAATGATCTTGGCTTGGACTTACGTGAGATTAAATGAAATTCTTATTCTCTACTGACTGACTATATGAACTTTATACAATCCAGAATATACTAGGATATTTGCAGATATCACATGAGTACGGACTCAATCTTACTATGAGGCTACTCATTATGTCATGAAGACACCTTGCTAGTCAATTTTTAAGGAATACCTTGTCCACGATATTGCTTCCATCTCACTCCCTGCCTGTTATGGAAGCAATTGGAATAATCTTTAATTGATCTGATGTTAAAGTGGATGTTTTCCTTTCTTCAGATACAAGTCTCGAATTACAAACTTACAAACCTCGATGGTGAGTTCAGAATCATGGAGCTGTCCAGTTCTCATTGACCATTTAAGTTTGCCAAAAGCAGACCTCTTCCTATCCAGACAATGGATCATAGCCTCTATAATAATAATAATAAAGTTGGAAGGGACCTTGGAGGTCATCTAGTCCAACCCCCTGCTCAGGCAGGAAACCCTATACTATTTCAGACAAATGGCTGTCCAGTCTCTTCTTAAAAACTTCCAGTGTTGGAACATTCACCGCTTCTGGAGGCAGGTTGTTCCATTGGTTAATTGTTCTCACTGTCAGGAAGTTCCTCCTTAGTTCTAGGTTGCTTCTCTCCTTGATTAGTTTCCATCCGTTGCTTCTTGTCCTGCCTTCAGGTGCTTTGGAGAATCAGTTGACTCCCTCTTCTTTGTGGCAACCCCTGAGATATCGGAGGACTGCTATCATGTCCCCCCTCGTCCTTCTCTTCATTAAACTAGACAAACTATTGGTATTTTGACTTGGGCAACAAGAGAGATTCAACTGTGAATAGATAGATGATAGATAATAGATAATCTGGTATGGCTCAGCCAATGCACTCTGGCCTCTTGCCTAAACTGTGAACTGGAACAGCACAGTTTATTTGATGGACTTTTCTGCTCAATCAAGCTCAGGAAGAATGCATTTTATTTATTTATAATTTATATAGATATCTGTCTTAGCAAAATGACTCTGGATGGTGCTCATCATCGGGTCAAAATCAACTAATATATAAACACATATACACACACACAAATCCATATTAATAGATTTCATAAAGGTGAAAGAGAAGATATTTTATTAGATTCATAGAATTGTCTGGCTGTGCCCAATGTGTGTGCACGAGAGCCTTGTGCTCAGCTCAAGGTCCAACTTGGGTTTCCTGCAGCAAGGACACAGGGATAACCAACGCAGGACCAAAAGTGCTTCAAACAGAATCCACTCCAAAGAGCTTGGTCAAAGTCCAGCCTGAGATTCATGGGGAAGGGATCTAATATCAGCAGCATGATTCAGAGGACTCGGCAGTAAAGCAGCATCGAAGTCTGGCAAAGTTCAACTCCTCCAGGTTGCTACGACAAAGCGCAAGGCAGCCTAGGACACATGCAGGGTTTCGGTTTAGGGTTGCTCTCAAGTGGTGACATCAGTTCCCAAACTCCCCTTTCCTCCCTCCCAAGCTCAAATGGATCAAATTTGTCACCCATGCTAGGCTACTAAGGGGTAATAGTTTCTTCTTTCAACCGTCACTCCCAGTAAGACTGTTATTGATATTCCTCCAATTTTTTTTTTTTTATCACTTGACACATATGTGCAGTTGAAAGCTGTGTTGCAATGCCGGTGTCAGAAACTGAAGACTGGAGAAGTAGAGATAGAGGAAGTCTGTTATGGAGCCGACTTCTTATCTCTTCAGAAACTGCCAAAATAAATAAATAAGGCGATAGGATTCTCTTTGCACAATCTATCATTGCTTGACACCCACCAAATGGTTTAAACCTCCCAGAATGTCCAGCTGGGATGACTAGCAGTTCTTGCTAGGGATTTAGGCAATGGTAGTCCAATTTATCAGGAGGAGGATCAGACCCAATGGACCAGGGGTTCTCAACCTTGGCAACTTTAAGACTTGTGGACTTCAACTCCCAGAATTCCTCAGCCAGCAAAGCAAAGCTGGCTGAGGAATTCTGGGAGTTGAAGTCCACAAGTCTTAAAGTTGCCAAGGTTGAGAACCCCTGCAATAGACCCTAATAGATTCCATAGACCCAATAAGGGTGGAAAAACAACTCACCACCTTTATCACCACAGAGCAGGAATCTGGACTTTGACTTGTGTCCAGCCACACATGCTTCGTGTCTTTTACTAGCATCACTTCATTTCCTGGAACAACTTGACGTATCAAGTTGCTCACTGGAGTTGGTAGGCAGATAGGGGCTGCTGCGCAATTTCAGAAAGATATCCATAAATTCAGACCCTTCTTATTCTCTGTGTATTTACCGTGATCATCAGGAACACATTTTCTGCCTTGTGGGTACGTGGTCCTTAAATGGCATCCCTGTTAGACTGGCAGCTTGATACAATGCGCTGTGCTATTATCAGCAGGGAAGAGAAGACAGCAGCAGATGGAGAATCAATAAGGATCAACAGAATCACCATTTAGAAATAATTGAGGAAATGGAAAAGTGCAGAAAGAAATGCCACATACTGTAATATTTATTCAGTCACAAAGCAGACCTCGAATTGCACCCACTAGAGAAGTGATACTGCTTCGAAAGACAAGACATATGTCATATATTACATACATTGTAACTAAGGAAACCACCTCTGTTTCTCCGAATTTCATTGAAATTCTTTTTTTCAGGAAGTTAGACTATAACCTCTGAGTCAGATATTGCAGGCAGATCGCCCTCATTTCCATTCTGAGTCAAATTTATTAGGAATCCAAATGCCAGCCTATTTAATCCCATCTAGAATTGGTGTCCCAATGTACATATCAGGGACATCAACACAGTTTTTTTTTTTTAAAAAAAAGGCCTAATTTTGCAAAGTAGTTTTAAAGTTAAAGCTATTGTAAAATTGAAAGTTGTTCTAACTTTAGTTTAATTTAAAAAGTTTAGCTAAAGAGAAGAGATGATGCCTTGGAGCATTTTTCAAAACATAAATCAATGGGAAGCTTGAGCACATCTCAAAGCTATACGACTCCCTGTACTTGCAAAGTTCTTGCAACTATTGTCAAGTAGGGATTTCCTAACAGAATTATTTTCTTATTAGTTCTTATTCAGGCTAGCCTGAGATTGCCAGCCAATCAGTCACAGAGTACCAACAATTTGCTTTTTCTTACAATCTCATATATATAAAACAGACAACATATAACATACTGTGTTGGTGAGACCGCCAATATTTCTCTTTTCACTTCTCCCAAAGATGCTTTTTCGCAAGGCTTTTCCTTTGAAGACATTTCACTTCTCACCCAAGAAGCTTCTTCAGCGTCTTTGGGACAACTATGACGTGGATGACTGAGAATCTCCATAGACTTTTCACTTCGCCTTCCTAAAATATTTAATAAATAAATATGGTAAAGTCCTGAAGTCCTTAGATGGTGAATTGCAGTGAGGAAGACACCAGATATAGGATAGTTACCATGGCAGATAATTAATTCAAGTTAAAGTTGTATTATGGGCTGAGATGCGAACCCTGATTCCAGTTTTGCCCTTTGATAGCTTATTCCCTCCCTTTGGGTGATTAACTAAATGGTAAAAATGGTATTTGATAAGGACTTCTGAATTGCTGCATATTCCTGTTTGCGGCAGTTTTTAGCCAGAAGAATCAAACAATCTCAGAGTGTGAAGGCAATTATTCTCCTGGTTAGACTGATGACCTGATAAACCATAGAACCAGTCCTTCTTTGGTAACTTTGAAATATGAATGCATTTGTGTTATTTGTATATTCCAAGTAATTTCAAACTACTTTAGAAGGAGAAGTAATGCATAGAAAGAGCAGAGAGAGGGCATGGATTGAAGGCAACCACCTTGGAACACAGCTTTAGAATTAATCTGTGAAGGAGCTCGGCTGGAGTAAATTTCATAAGGGGCCTTGAAATGGAAGATTATTAAGCTGCTCAAGTAGGAGGAAATAAAGGGCCCATTTGCAGACAAGCTAGATCTTAGCACACAAATGAACATGCACGATAAAATTAGTCTTTCTATAATAATATGGTCTGCCCTGAAGAGGTTTGGCTGAAGAAGGTTTCATTCTACAGTCAAAACAGCAATAAAAATCCAAACAGATAATTTGAGTAATAAATAATTTAAAATGCTCAATCAATTCAAAGTAGGCAAGGTAAAAATCAGAAAAAGAAATGTTTCCCAGAGATAGAACTTAACTAAAAGCAACACACATACAAACACAATACAGATACAGATACACATACCGTTTTAGGGAAATAAATGACTGCATAATGGATTTTAATTTTGTTTATAAAGCCGAAGGCTTGGAATAGCACTCCTGAAACTTGTTCAGATGTCTCACGGATGTAGTTTTTAGAATTTCCTTTGCTATGTTTGGAAGTGCCATCCCAATACCTCTGTTCCGGAAGATCGCAGTCAGGTTCCCCTTTTTTTGCCTGCACCCTCCAGTAGTCACTGCAATAATCCTGCATGGATTTATCGGAAGCTGCTCCAGGGTCCACATCAACAAAATTATTTATATTCTAGTCCTAGGAAGTACCTGTAGGTTACCTGTGGGCATTGCCCTGTTACATTCCGCAGCATTAAAAATATATTTCTGTCCTGCCATAGGATGCCTTTTTGTTATCAATTTTTCCTGGAAGGTTTGCAAAACACAACATGCATGGAAATGCTCAGCTGGAAATTTGGATCCAGCCGAGGAGAAGAAGAAAACTCTTAGAAGTCCTCTTGTTAGAAAGAAAAGAGGGAGAAAAGTACTGAGAATTTGAGACCCTTTATTAATCATGCCATTACTATTAAGGTAACAACGAAAGTCTTCCCGTGAGTGGGTTTTAAAGGAATTCCCAGCTATACACTGAGAGAAAGAGGTCCAAGGATTTCACATCTGCATTGAACGACGTGGAAAAAAATTAACTCAAGCATGCTTTTTATTAATCCTCTTGGAATCCTCAGTTTTACAGTTGGAAAAATGGAAGTGTATTAAATTCACCCGAAGGGCTATCTGTCAGAACACCTTATAATAAGATCTCTTTAGCAGATAAACAAGCTTACAATGGCCTGGACCTATCTCAATAAAACCGTTACAGATTCACTGATCGATATCTTGAAGTAATTCATAATAAGTCTTTATTACTACCAGGTTGGCAGGCGGAGGATTTCAGACCTGCAGTACAGAGCCAAGAATATCTCTTGATTTATTAGATTTTTTTCTTCTTTTAAAAAAGGCCCCCTCCCATTCAATTGGTTGATTTCTGTTTAATAGAATGCTCCCTATCAGACTTCACACTAGGCGTAACCATAATTGTTGACTCTCTCCAGATGCTTAACTTTGTATTCAGGAACTTGCTTATAGTAGCAGACTTGACATAGCTTCTTCTACTGCAGTTTATTCATCATCTGCCTTCCCTTCAAATTGATGGTGAAAATGTAACCCACAAAAATAAAAGGCACAGTGTTTACTCAGGCATAATGTCCTCATATTCACTTCCACTCCTTGTATATAGGAAAGCAATATTTGCCAACATTTAAACATTAATAATATTAATAGTGTCAATGAATTAGAAATTCCCTGTTTTTTATGCATAGTTTTTGGAAGCTGTGTAAACAAATTATATTATTGATTATTATGACTAAAAAGCCAAAACAGTAACCTGTCATTGGTGATAACTAGCTATTCACTAGTTCGCTAGCTTTTTTTTTCTTTAAAATATCCATGAATAGATTTATCAATGAAAAACATTTATTGTTCACCACATCTTTACATCTTGAGATCTTATTTTTCATGCAACTGTGTGAAAACAAATGACCAATATCAGTATCAACTTGGGAAAATATATTTTTCCTTGGATAAACACAGATGTAAAACATCTGGAGAGGCAGTTGTTTTTCTTTAAAGAATCAGCTGTTGAATTTAAGTATTTCATTTATTATTATGGTCATTGATCATCACAGAACATATGGCGAAGGGTCTGTAGCATATTTTACAGAACTCATGTATATATAATCAGTTTATACTTCAAGCAATTTATATTGTTTCATATAATTTGTAGTCCTTCTGAACAGTAAGAAATTAATTTCCTGGAGGCTATTTTCAAACCCACTGGTGTAGTATAAAGGAGTTTGTATTGGCAATATGTAAAAATATTAGTATGTGCCCATTAGCCAATTTTGGAGGATGGAAATCCATACATGTAAAGTTTTTAAATATAGGCTTTGAGTATTTGGATAGAAATCAACCAATTACTAATATTTATTTGGTCAAAGACCAGCGAAATTTAAAAGAATTAAAAAAGAGTGTAGCAAATAAATACCATAATATACTATATAATATATATATATATAGTTTATAATACATGGTATATAATATAGTATATATATATTAACAAAATAAAATCGCGTAGAATAACACTCGCTCCTCTATTACTGTATTAAAGCAGGTGTTACCCGGATAATAAGTCTCATTTTGATAGAGAATCAAAATCTTAGTTCATCTGTTTCACAGTTCCGAGTACAAAGACTTAGAACAGGGGTGTCAAACTCACAACATCATGTGACGCGTCGCGATGTATTGGTTTTTTTTTGCCGTTGCCGGCAATGGGATGGGTGCGGTTTTGCTATGATGCATACTACTGCAATCTTATTCCCAAAATGTAGGCGTTGTATGCCACTCAGAGCCATTTTTGTGTGAGGTAAATAAATTGCCATTTAAAATTTAAATGGATTTTTCATTTTAATAAATAAATTTTAATTAAAAATTGCGAACCAATGGTAACTCTGCTTCCAGTTATGGCTGTAAGTCCAGGATTACTTGTATAAATTCTGGGATTTCCAATGAATGGCAGGATGAGATGCCCCCCTCCTTAAGAAATGGACTAAGGTCTATTGGACTCCTGAGCCAAATGACATTATATTCAACCACCTCCATGGAAGAAACGACATCCGTAGCAGATTTCCCCATTCAAGCCAAACTGCTCTGAAAGCTTGTTGAACCAGTTTCAACTGTACAATCTTGGCTGGTAAAGAAAACAACCTACATTCATTGACGCAGAGCAATTGGATGGGATTAAATTGTTTCTCTTTCAAAGTGACTATCAGAAGGCCAGTTCCTAATACACGCTTAACTAGGTCATGGGTGTGTACATGTGTGTATACATGGAATGGAGGGAGACAGGGTGAGCGT